TATATATATATATATATATATATATATATATATATATATATATATATGTGTGTATATAAACAAATTAGAGCTGTACATATATACACATGTTATTATTTTTTTTTGTAAAAGTGCTCCAAATTTTCTCTTAATCTTTATTAATTTATAAAACTTTCCTTCAGCGCCATCACTGTGTTTTTTTTATCAGCAACTAGTCATTTCCTCTCATCCTCAAGTACAAATAAAATTGATTTCCTTTTTGTTTCTCTCCTTTAGTTTGAGACAATATTAATAAAAACAATAAAAGTGAGCCACGTTCTGTAGCGAGCGATAATATTTATGGGAACAGCTTGCTAACAGTTTCCTCGATGCTTCATTAATGCTGCTCTCACAGCCGAGCAGAGGAAAGCTGTTCAAGCACTCGCTTTTTCTTTTCTGACACGTCTAAGTGAAATTACTTTGGAATATTGTCGATTCCACTTTGTGGATTCATGCAGGCTCTACATAGAAATTAGACTGTAATGAGGTATGAAATGCGGAGTTAACTTTCAGAAATTGTACAGCCATTTTTCCCCCTTTTAATGATGTTTTCTCTTTATTTTTGTACAATAAACATTAAACCTCCTTTTTCCTGGTTGCTGCCTTTTACAGACATCAATCAATGGTAATTACAACACGTGTGCCCGTTTCTCTTCCTGAGTAACACCCAGTTCTGATCTGTCGAGCAGAGATTGATCTCCCCCCTGTGGTTTAAAAGAGAACACTCATTTCTAACTTCAGTCAAACTTGGCATAGATTATTTTATATCTGGGGTGGAGATATATATGGGCGTACTTATATTTTTTGGCCTCGTCACATCTTCACAAGGCACACAAAAATAAAAACGCTTGATAATCTCCAGTGCAAAGTGAAACTGCTTACTTCTGTGTATTGATTTAGCCCATCCTTAGGCCAGACCGTGGCAGGCTGTGTTGTTGACACATCTGAAGGCTGTTCCCTGCAAACTCCTACGTACTCTTTCTCTATAAGAGGACCCTGTGGCCTGCAGCCTGGGGAGAGGAGAGGAATAGAAAAGCATCGGGTCCATGGGGCAAACATCAATCAGTTCCTCTGGGAAAAACTGTGAGCTGGTTTCACAATCAAAAGCGTGCACATGCTCTGAAAAAGCTGAGAGACGGTTTGGCTCCAAAGCTCCATTTTAAGGCGCACCTGGTTGGATCGATGCCGGCTGCGCTTCAGGTTGAAAGAAAGCGATTCGGCTCAAGTCCGTGGCCAAGCACAGGCAGGGTCAGGAGTTATGGAGGGAGAGGAGGAGGCGGCAGCTGCCAGTCACTCTCAAATGGCATTCAAGACATGCGACACAACTGGACTCAAACTAACACTTTGTCTTTTTTCTTCTCCTTCCCCCATCTCCTCCTCCTCAGGAGCAGTTTGAGTTTGCTCTGACAGCTGTGGCCGAGGAGGTGAATGCCATCCTGAAAGCGCTTCCTCAGTGAAAGGCTTCACGCGTCTTATTTTTTCTTCGCCAAGCACTGGTCTTTCAGTCTCAACCTCCTCTTCACCCTCAGATGTTCTTGTATCTCGAATGTTGTGCCGGGTAGCTCGTCTGGATTCATATTCACTAATTTCAGAGTGCGAGAGATTACATTTTAGTATTTTAGGATGACAAAACAAACAAATGTGAACCCATGCTCCTCTGTGCAGTGTTGTTGTTCCTGAACATGCAGTGCCACTGATGACTTGTTTCTGTAGCTTCAAGTGGAGATTCCTGTTGCAAAATGAGCTGTCACCTGCAAAAAACTCATTCATTGATGATTGCGTTGATTTATTTTTGTCTGATTCAGTTTTAATTTGGAGATATGCTGATTGTTTTTTCATTTTATTTATTTATTTTTTCTTGAGCCAATCCGATTTTCAATGTTTGTAAAGCTCTGTCCTGCCAGTTCTGATACTGGTTGATTCCAATTTTTCTTCAAGACTTAAAAAAAAACAATCAGTTTTTTGAATGAATAAAAATGAATTAAATGAATGACAAAAACATCAACTTACTTTTTTTTTTCCCGACAGCACCAGGTTACAGAGTTTCTTTCTTTTCCTCATTGAAAAAGAAGAAGAACAATGTAAAAAAATAAACTGTATATTTCATTTATATGACCTTACACATTTATGTTCCTTTTTTCATAACTTAGAGCCTTAAACGGCACCATTTGACTGGATAAGCACTTGAAAAATAAATTGAACATCAAATACAGCTGTACATATTACCTTGAGGTAATATTTTGGAAATTGGGTGTAATATAGAGAAATTCAACAACATTATAGGTGAGAAAAGATTGTTAGATGTTATTGAACTATACAAATAGGTATGATTATTATAATTGTGACAAATAAACTATTAAGCTTTTTTGGCATTTGTACCCTGGTTGCAAATTTATTGGTCTCAAAACTAAAGCTAGTTGTTTAAACGAATGGTTCCCAACAGTCGTCCCTGTGGAAAACCATCCTGCATGTTTTAGGTGTTTCCCTACTTTGACACCTGGTTTGAATGATCTGGTGATTAAAAAGCTTCAGCAGAACTTGAGGAAACAATTAAATCATTGAATCAGGTGTGTTGAAGCAGGGAAACAGCTAAAACATACAGGGCGGTGTTCCTCAGGGACCATTGTTGGGAACCACTAGTTTAAACGATAAGTACGACATTAATATTAAACATATAAATAGTACAAATAACTAACTTAAAATGTTTTTTACCAAGTAAAAACCTCAACATCAACATTTACTAGAGCAAATTAACCAGTCAGATTACAAACTGGGGGGAAAAACTGAATTTTGATAGCAGTTGTGCTAAAAATTGACCAATTCTGCTCACATTGAAAGCAATCAAGGCATCCGTATTTAAAAACAGTAAGATATTCAAACGTTTTATATGACAAAGATAAACAGCAATGAGCTGTATTAATGTTGGAGAACATTTTGTGTAAGAATAACAAAAATGGTGGTCAGCTCTTTCCCTTTTTTTTGTGCTATTTTAACTAATTCAAGTAGTTGCAGCTCAAACTCAGAAACCTGTAAATGAACTTCTTGGCTGCAAAACTCACGATACTGTACAGATCCTCTCCTCCAAATGAAGTGATGTGCTGAACCCTCTCATGTTTCTCCTCCTCTGTGATCCAGATCAGCTAATATATACTCAGCATCACATGTTCACATGTTGAATTGTGCGCGTGTTGTTCTTTGAATCGTGCCACAGATTCTCTGACTCAGCCTCACGGATCATAACATATCAGCTGTTCATTCACTACAGTGACCTCATATTATTATTTTGTTTCATCCATGAACAACTATGTTAATATTAAATGTGAAACCCTGAACTATATCCTCTATTTAGAAATGCTGTCATCCTGTATCAATAGTAATAAGATTATATATATAAATTAAACTTATAATGGGATTGCTGCTAAATTTGTTTGTCCCTCTATCTCTGGTATATTGTGAAATTTTGTGCAACATGACAGATTATTTGTTCTATAGACAATGAATGACTTTATGAATAGTGTTATATAACAATCCACACTGAAGGTTTCAGTGAGAACTATATATTTTGTGTGAGAAGTAACACTCATATTGATAATAAATCCGATCAGACTCCAGTGCTTTGCTGTCTGTTGTGTAACATTATTTCTGATACACTCCCAGACAAGAAGGCCGACCTTCCACTGAAAGACATTTGATTGAATGATAGTCCTCGTAAAGGCACAAGGAAAATGGTGTGTAGTGCTCCCTGGGGATGTTGTATATCTGATAAAGACTCGCCAGTTTGTACTGATGAAATGTTTGTTCCACTGGCTCTGTCAGCAGAGAAACTGGCTGGAAGGTGAAATGAAATCAGTCTTTCAGGATTTCAGCTCATCTCACAATGTTACAGTAACAAAAGTTCAGCCACTCAGAGTGGAGTTAGATCAATGAGGGCTGCACAATATTAGAAAATCATTGCAGTGTTGTTCAAATTGTGATAATGATATTGTTTGGTATAAATACACTTTTTTCTCTTCTGTCATTTCGATGCTCACAACACTGTGCACTTTAGAGACTAGGATATAAACTGAGTGTGGGCATATGGGGCAGAGAGAGTTCTTCTGATTGGCTGAATTAATAACTGGCACCTGGAATAAAGTGATTCTCAACTCGTTGGCCTTGACCCAAAAGTAGGTAATGCAACTATGTTTTAATGAGTCGCAGACCTTTGTGCAAAAGAAAAATAATGTAAAAAAAAAACATATATCCCGTAATTTCTGGACTATTGAGCGCACCCAAATATAAGCCACGCCCACTAAATTTAAACAATAATAATAATAATATTTTTGTACATATATAGGCTGCACTTGCATATAAACTGCGGGTGTCCATGTTTTAACAAAAGACATTTACACAGAAAGATTTATTTATTTTTTACTTTTGACTAAATACGTATTGGTAACATACATAAAAATGTACAGTAAATGTTTTTTTTTTTCTGAACAGTGCCGCTAGCACAGCTGGTTTAAAAAAAAAAAACAGTAGCTTACAAGGAAGTGATCAATCGCTATCTTCATCTTCCTCCTGCAGAATATTTTTTTTAAACTGCTCCTCTGTCAGCATCCACTGGCAGACTGGAACAGAAGTTGCTCTTTGCATGTCGCCAGATTTGGTAAACGATTTCTTGCCACGAGTCATCCAGGCCTCCCACTGAGCTTCGAGTGTCACGTTAATGCACCATTCACACTGATACAGAGTGGCTGCAAATAATTTGTTGTGGCTCCAGGGAGGGGCACAAGTTTGCCCTCCCCGTTCTCTCCTTCACTCCTCGTTTTGTTGGTCCACTGTGATCTATTTGGTCATTTCATCAGTCAGATTTTTTTAAGCTTTATTTATACAGATAGTCTCGAGTCACAAAGACCTACCCCCTCAGGAAAGATGTGTATTGGGCAGCTATGCGAGTGTTGGTGTGTGATGAGGCTAAATGTTCTGGTGGCAGAAAGCTCATTAGCCCATCAAAAAAACTAAAATCCATAAATTAGCCGCATCATTGTATTCAAAGCGTGTGGAAAAAGTAGCAGCTTATAGTCTGGAAATTTTGTTTTCCAGTCTGCCAGTGGTTTTTTTTTTTTTTTTGATATAAAAAAAAAAAGCAGTATCTTAAAAGGAAGG